AAATGAACCATAACCATTTGTACATGCTCCATGAGTTTTTATCAGAAACTCATTGTCATGCTCTGACATTATTAAATTTATGTGACTCACCTCAACATCACTTTAAGAGGTCAAATGTACCAAATGTACTACCTCTTTGTATTCCTTTATTTTGATGGAGATTTACAAAACTTTTCAAATTTGGGTTACACCAACAGCAATGTGCCAATAACTTTTCATGCTACTTTGATGGATAAAAATTACCTTCACATTTGAAGGACCATCTTAAGAACCCATAATGTTCTTTCTTTTAATTACCACAATGATGACCATCAATATTTTACCATACTCATATTCATGCATTTAACCACTTGTCATTTTGAGACACATTATGTCCTGCTACCACATTCACATAAGAGAATGGAGCAAATCAATTGGGCAAAGTTCATGACTTTCAGTCAAAAGTATACAACTTTATGTTAGTTATCACCATATCATCACTATAGTGCATTAGGACTTAAACCCAATGTCTTGCCCATATAAAGACGTCTTTGGTCATAAATCAATGGGACTTGAACCCAATTTCTTATTATCATGACGCACCCAAACTTTAATTCGATGTCTTACCCACTTAGTGCGATTAAACTTGTATTCATCGTCTTACCCTCAATCATTTTAAAATAACCACAAAATAAACTTTAGTTAGTACAAATAATATATTAATAACTCCACAAGTAAATGTTTAGATGAAGAAAAATAAATCGGTACAAAAGTAACCTATAATGATGATCCAATCAATATGTATATGCCACATAACTCAATAACTTATCTTATAATAAAACAAGATCATAAAGAACAATTTCTTTACAAATTATTAACTTACAAAACTAACTTTACTTTTTAAATATATAGTGATTAAATTAAAAGTTTGCTCAAAGTAAAAGCAACTTGCTAGGCTCATATGATTTTGAGATGGTAAGAAAACTAATGATGCATAATCAAAAGTAAAATATAAAATAAATTATATAGTAGTTTACCTTGTTCCCGAGAGAAAAATAAACACAAATATTTTTACCTTCTTTATATTTACTTTGCTTCAATCCTTCAATTGTAGACAATCGTGCTGATAACGTATTGTAAAACTTAAGACTAAAAGAACAATATAAAGATGAAGACAAGAAGAATATAAGACAAGAGGAACAATATAAGATAATTTTCTTCCTTTCAAGTGTTCACCAATTCTTCAAGTGTATACAATATGAAACTCTTATGCCTCTATTTATAGTGTAACATAGAGGCATACAAAAGGTTAGTCATAAACATGACATTAACATGAATATAATGGGGGAGGTTATGGAAGTGAAAAGTTACAAGAATAATGGTTATAAAGGTGGAGGTTATGGAGGTTATTGTTATCTTCATAATGGAGGAAAGTAATGGAGTAACTTCTTGATGTAGTGGATATCCATAATATATTATTTTATAACATTTAGCGAATCTTTTTTAAAAGTGCTTTTGAGAGTCAAATTACGATTAAGGGTAAATATTAATGTATTTTTAATACTAAAATTATTTTATACAGAGAAATTAGTTTAAACATCAATTACAAAAAAAAAATTAAATTTTTATTTTTCTTAAATTAAATTAAAATGTTCATATTCAAATTTTCAATCTATATTATACATTTTTTTGAAGGGTTAAAATCTGTAATTGTTATTTTTCTTTTCTAATCTTACAAAAAAAAAAATCAATTATAATCTTACAAAAATATTATTGTTACCTTCTTCTCTTTTTTTAGTTATGCAAAATAATACGTAAAATAATAATACATAAACATAAAATATAAAATTTATTATATAAAATTTCCTTTTAGTCTTGAAAAAAAATAATTTTCTGCTTCTGCTTTTTTTAAGAAGCAGAAATTTTTAGCTTTTTTCCAACAGCAGAAAAACTATTTCTGCTTCCATTTAAAAGCAGTTAGTTTTACAGGTTTGTCAAACATCTATAGTTTTTTCTCAAATAAGTGTTTATGAGCTCCCAACAGCAATGTCAAGCAAGTCGTTTGTTTTTTCATTAGAAAAGAAACAAGAACAAATAATGTAGTAATTGAAAAGGAAATACATGATACATGTGTAAGACTAACACTACACTCTCGGACTACCACCAAGCCTGAACCCACTATGAAAAACGAATCAACACTCAATTATCTACATTACACTAATTTATCTTTGATAAGCTAAAGTTACGCCAGATCCTATTTAATCACCTCTTCTCAATACATTTTTGATGTACCTCTAAATCACATATTTCTTCAAACCATTTCAGTCTCACTTTCCTCATTTCATTGCAACTAATCAAAGTGACATTTTCAAAACATACCATATAGGCTGCATTTCGTATGCACTTTCTACATTAGTCCTACATTTCTTTCTTTCCTTCAAATTTGTTAGGCATTCAATAAATTTGGAAGAGTCTGCGTCCTAAACAGACAACGAAAAAAGGGAAGAATAAAAAAAGCACGTCAACCATAGACACTTGATCAAGCCGTCAAAGCATAATACTATTTTATACGTTCCTATTTGGAGAGGAGTTTCAGCAAGAACGAAGCAAATAAAATAAAAATAAAATAATAATCTATGCTCTCTAACTGTTTTACTTTTTAATCCTTTATTAGCAACATCCAGCGGCAATGTTGCGTAATGAAACAGAGACATGGAATGGCTCTGTTGTTTTGCACGCCTGCAGAGAGACTCCAAAAGTACCGACGCTCAATCAAAAAAAGCACGATCAACTATATGCTTAACTCATGCCCCAGAAATCCGTAACAGAGAGAGAGGACCGAGACTCTCCCGCCCCTTTGACAGCAATTCCTGCACTTGACGTCGGATCTCCTCATTGGAAAATGGGGATAAGCGAGAAGCCGCCCTAAAGTTTGATGACAATTCAGAAATGGCATTCATTGATACATTTCCAACGAAGCAACATATACCAGTAATAAGGCAATAACTAAAAATATACTTCTGCATATTGTGTAAAAATACACTGCCGTTGTCCACCAAAAACCAAAAATGATTACTGCACAACCGGCCAATGCCTGTATACATTAATAAACCTACTCTCGATGGCAGATGTCGAGGTCAACTAAATAATCCATCAATTCCTCTAGCCAACTACAGTATCGAAAATGAAACCATGAATGTCCATACACATGTTGTATTCCTAGATTAGGATCTAACTACCTAGACCCAGCCAACACTTTCCTTGAATCACTGCCACAAGACCGAGAGATCACTTTCAGTACTAATGTGAGAATTTTTGCAACACAACAGAACTTGAAAAAAAAAAAATAGGATGTGCTGGCCACTAAAGTTTGTGATTTAAACACTCCAAGCACCCACACCGCCTTCAGGGGTATAAACGGGTATATGTGAATCTGAATCTCATGAATCCACCATTTCATCTTGTATCTCGTTGGGTGCAATTAGACCAGGAATAGAACGCATCCGCTGACGTTCCCTCTCTCTCTGAGCAGCTGCTTCCTCGGCATAGAGGTCCTTATTGTCCTGCAGGAAAAGTGAAGAATCCAAGTGAGTTAAGTGGTACAAAAAACAGCTAAATATCAGAAAATATGAATAAGCTAGTTAATAACATCAGTATGTCACACTAATAAGACCAAGATAATATTAGACTAAAAGGCCCAGAACTCATGAGGAAGCAATTCATCTCTATATCCAAAACTTCTGAAAGGAAAGGGGATAAAACTAATGACATTTGTTCAACTTTTCACCTTAGGAAGAAAAATAACTGAGCCTGCATAAAAGGAAAAAAAAAATTGCCAAAAAATTACAGATAAAAAAGAGCTATTGCCAAAAATTGTTTTTAGAAAAGTGGTTTTAGGGTACTTATTAGAGAAGAACTTCCACTCAAAAAATCCTCAGAGCTTCAAATTTAACCACAACTATTCAAGCAAATTTTCCTTTTTCACAAACTTCTTTTCCCCTTTTTTTAACAAAAACCTTTTCCCAAGTCATCCCACAGGCTCAGATCTGAGCTAGCATGTTGTCAGGAACTCACAATATGACCTACATCTGTAAATAAGCCATGGTAAAACCCAACACAGATGCTAATAATTCAGAGTTTTTATGGCAAATATTCATCTATGAAGTACATGAATTTGTGGACATAGGGTAGAAAAAGTAGCACGTAAATTGATGTGGAACTCACAATATGGTTACGGTTGCAAACAATGACAAAATAAGACAAAGCTAAAGCTAGACACAATTTAATTCATCAGAATCTTGACAAAGTTCTTTTTAGTCCGTGTTCTATTTAAAGTCCCTCAGTGACCTGGCATACAAATTAAACAAAATTACAAAACATGAACTTTTTATTTGTTAGGGAAACATGTGAAGCCAGTGGCATTGATTTACATTTTTTGGGGAATTTGAGAAAAAACAGGTAATGAATTGGATTAAACCTTCCTAAAACTTATAAAAAAATTCTTTTTAGGATATTGCTTGCCATTACGCCCCAAAAACAAAGTATTGACAATCTATTAGGTTCTGCCGTGGAGCATGTACATACAGGAAGAGGGTAGAGAAATAGAAGACCCTTCACACACACCCAACCCAAACAAAGAAATCTTGGAACAAATGGTCTACTTGTAACACTAACCTGAGCAGAGAACTCTTTCGATTGCACAAGGAAGTCCCTTATGTGATTCTTGAATGTGGGAAGGTCATTTGTTGAATCAAATAGCCCACTGACAAATTGAGTCACCTGAAAAAAGAGCAAACCATCACTAACATCTAAATTAAAAATATATACAAATTGACATGAAAAAACATCATGCAAAACTTGTGCTCATACTTCAGCAGAGGTCATGTTGGGGAAGGATGTACTAAGAAGCTTAATGGTGTATTCGCGAACAAATTCAACATTATTTGGATATGAAACAGGCACTGTCGATGCATCCCATAGCGGCTCAGACAACATAGCTACCTGAAATCATAGCACTATGTTACAAGAAAGTACTAGTACACTAGGAAAACCAATCTGTTAGGTAGACACATACCATGCAAAATAAATGCTGTAGCACCAATACATGCAATTTAAACCCAGGCTTATGAAACGTGTCTGTCAAAACAGCAAAAATTTCTTGCTCGATCGTCAAATAGTAAGTCCTATAAAACTGGTTAGCGAACTCAGAATTCTGCCATGAGAGAAGAAACTGTTAGACCTCCACCACATATGTTGAACATGAACAATCAATCTAATGGCTAACAAAATAAAGAAGCACCTGAAAATTTTTCAGCATTGCCAGCAAAAGATTAAGCCCAGTTTCAGCAATGTTCCTCTCAGTGTGCCGAAAAGCCCATATTATAGAATCCATGACAAGTTTTAATTGCTGATCAAAATTCAGGAGAAAATGAGATCTATCATAAGTTCATCCAGACATTCTAAATGCAAGCTTCATAAACTAGAATTGGTGATCCATACATTACACCAAGAGCAGGAAAAAATACATACCTCACTCGACAGCCGTATTAAAGCAGCAAAACAGTGTGTAGCAATTGCACGAAGTAATGAGAAGAACTTGAGCCGATGCTCCGGATAATCTTCAAAGTTCTTTGTGATCATCTGTTGTACAATAAATGAATTCATCAAACAGATCATGTGAGATCACGGTGATTAACTTGCCAGATGTTTATTGAAGTAATCAAATTATCTCTAAAGCATATTACAGTCCATTGTTATGTCACCCTGGATAGGGCAAACAAACAACCGTATTGCCTGTTAAAACTGCTTGAGATAAACGCAGGTAAAGACTCCAAAAACAGATACAAATGCATGTATAAAGAAACGGAATAAAGAACTCTCAATCAAATAAATGAGGAAGGAGAATAGTATCACCAAATTAATACCTAAAACAAATACATCTATAAACTTCATGAGAAGATGGAGCAATGCAGCATTGCAGAAATAGGAACACCCTTTATCAAACAAGTAGCTTATGCAGGAATTTTTTTAGTCAAATAATGTCGAGGATGGCATTTGGAACAGAGGCATAGTTGGTGTACTATTGGGATGACTTACTATAAAAAGAAGAGGCTACATATTAACTACTAAAGAATAGACGTGAACTCGGAAAAAGGGGGGGAAACAAACCTCCAGAGTACACTGGAAAGCAGCTTCAAATATTCGAGGGACATCCTCAATCATAGCACCCTTGTACCTAACAAGAAAAATGTTAAGACACGGAAGTAGGTGTACCATGAGAATATGTACAAAATTGGCACATAGCAGAAATTCCTGTTTGGAGCAGACAATTTATGAGCTCATGCTGAGTGCCATTTTTTTTTTGGGGGGGGGGGGGGGGGGGGGGGCTTTT